CCTTACATTTCGGCGAATGACCATGAAATCGGAGCCGACCTGAGGAAGACGAGCATGCCAGAGGTGCTCCGTCGTCTGTCGATGTCCCCCGTCATGTCTGCATCGCTGAACATAGTGAGCTGTAGCCTACTCCCGCCGGTCTTTGGGAAGATGATCCCTTGATCTATCGTCCCCTTGATGTAGCGTAGTAGCCGCTTCACTGCAGCCCAGTGATCCTCTCGAGGATCCTCCATGAAGCGACTGATGTAGCCCACGGCGAACGCAATGTTCGGCCTCGTGTGGACTAGGTAGTGTAGACCGCCGATGATGCTCCGGTAAAGTGTTGCATCCACCTTCGTCGCGGTGCTGGCCTTCGTCAGCTTCAGCCGCTCCTCCATCAGAGTCACGCATGGCTTGCACTCAGCCATGCCGCTCCGTTCCAATAGCTTCGAGGCATACACGCTCTGATCGAGCGTGAGTTCCTCCTTCCCCTGTCTCACATTGATGCCGAGGTAGTAGAAGAGTGCGCCGAGATCGCTCATTCAAACATGAGCCGCCATCTCGCGCTTGAAGCTGTTGATGTCCACCGTGCATGCGCCGATGACGATCAAGTCGTCCACATACACGCCGACGACGAGCTCCTCCTTCCCCGTCGCCGCATGTAGAGCACGTGCTCGGTTGCGCACCGCTGAAACCCAAGCTCGCCCAGCGTAGCGTCAAGCTTGGCATTCCATACTCGTGGGGCCTACCATAGCCCGTAGAGCACCTTGCGTAGTCGGAGCACCCTATGCTCCTCTCCCTTGACAGCGAAACCTGGAGGTTGCCTGACGAAGACCATCTCCGCTAGCTCACCGTTGAGGAAGGTCGATTTAACATCCAAGTGATGGACGCGCCAGTCCTTTGCTGCTGCCAAGGCTAGTAGCAAATGAACAGACTCCCTGCGTGCTACTGGCGTAAAGACTTCCTCGAAGTCGATGCCCTCGCGCTGAACAAAGCCTTGGGCGACGAGGCGCGCCTTGTGCCTGACAATGGCGCCAAGCTCATCCCGCTTGACCTTGTACACCCACTTCAGGCTGATCGGACGACATCCTAGAGGTGGATCGACAAACTGCCATGTCTCATTTTTCTCGATCGCCTTCATCTCCTCTAGCATTGCTCGTCGCTAGTTGCCATCGCGCTCCGCCAGCACGAACGTGGGTGGTTCCTCTGCACTGACGAGCAGCAGCTCTTGCTCATTGAGCAGCCGACCAGCCAGGCCTGAGGGCCCTGTGCCGCCGACGATGTCATCCAGCCTATGGAAACGCACCTCCTCACCTTCGTGGAAGGCATACACAAACTCAGTGATGTCACTTCGAGGTGAGGCGAACTCGATCGGCATCGATGGAGTTCCCTGTCCCGCCTGAGTGCTCGGCACTACACCTGGAGTGCTCGACACCCTGGTTGTAGTGCTCGGCACTACTTCTAGATAGCTCGTCACTACTCCTGCAGTGCTCGGCACTACTGTAGGAGTGCTCAGCCTAAGTCTTGGAGTGGTTGGCACCACTTGCGCAGAGACCTCTTGGCTCCGCTACGGGAGTGCTCGGCACCTGTCCTATAGTGGTCGCCACCACTGCAGAACCTCCTGGCATCACTCATGGAGTGCTCGGCATCCCTCCAGGAGTGCTCGGCACTCCTCCCGGAGTGCTCGGCATCCCTCCCGAAGTGCTCAAAGACTACCCCTAGAGTGCTCGGCACCTCTTCCCGATGTCTCCACCACCGTGGATGACCGGTGCTTTCGATAGCGAAGGTCTTTGGTGAAGCCGCCCGGCTTCCCGGTGCTCGGACTACTCCAGTCCCAAGCCACCTTCTCGTTGAACACGATGTCGCGCGAGACAAGTACCTTGTTTCCGCGTGGGTCATAGAGCCGGTACGCCTTGGTACCCTCCGCGTAGCCCAGGAACACCATCGGTGTGCTCGTGACCTCCATCTTGGTGAGGATCGGCTTCGTCTTCCTGATGTGGCCGATGCAGCTGAATGTCCGAAGGAAGGACACGCTCGGCTTGCACCCATACCAAGCTTCGAACAGCGTCTTGCCCGTCAGGGCCTTGGTCGGAGCACGGTTGAGGATGAACACCGCCGTGGTCACCGCCTCACCCCAGAACCTCGCCGGCATGCCTTTGGCCTTCATCATGGATCGAGCCATGCCGACCACCGTCTGGTTCCGCCTCTCCACCACGCCATTCTGTTGTGGCAAGTACGGCGCGGTGTGGTATCGCACCACACCCTGATCAGCGTAGTACGCAACGAACTCTACCGAAGTGAATTCACCGCCACGATCAGTCCTCAGCCCACGGAGCTTCTTGCTGCTCTCGGCCTCCACGTGCATCTTGAACTTCTTGATCCCCGCCGCCACTTCGTCCTTGCTCGCCAAGAGTTGCAGCCACATGTAGTGACTGCAATCATCCACGAGCAGGAGGAAGTACGGCCGACCACCGTTTGTAGCTGGTGTGATCGGCCACCGGACATGCCACTGCCACGGCTACTCGGTGTGCCTTGCCGCCAGACACACCGGCTGCTCTACCTTTAGGTTGAGCAGGTACAACTGGTTTAGGAACCTCTTCACCTTGGCGAGAAGTCGCTGCTCCCGGTCCCTAATCCTAAGGACTCCATCCTTGATCAGTACCTCGCTACCGCGCTCATCCAACTGACCAATGTTGATGATGCTAGAACACAGCTGCGGGATGTAATATACATCCGTTAGTGCACAATGCTTCCGTTCTAGCACCTGAAGATGATGGTGTCGCGCCCTTGGATTGCCACCCGTGAGCCGTCACCAAACTTCGCTGTACCGGTAACATCGTCGTCGAGCTCGGAGAAGGATGCCTTGGAGCCCGTCATGTGGTTGCTAGCACTAGAGTCCAGATACCACCGCTTCTCCTGGTCGGCGCCCACACGTCCGAGGTGGACTTGGGCGTGTGGTTCGTCGAGGTTGACAGCCTTCAGAGCCTTCCCAGGTCCTTCCACCATCGTCACCTCTTCCTTCTCCTCGGCCTCGACGTCGTGCAGTGCACAGAACATCGCTACCAGGATAGTGGCCTCATTATTATCATTAGCTTGCGCCAGATGAGCCTTAGCCTTCTTCTCCTGCTTGCGATTTGGGCACTCCCATGCCCAATGGCCCGTCTCCCCACAGCGCCGGCAGGCGTTGGGGTCGATCTGCTTCTTCTTCTCTGAAGAAGCCTTCCCAGAAGTTCCTCGAGTAGCCCACTCCTCTTCTACATCGTGACATTTTGCCGCTGTCCGTCGTTCTTGTCGCTTTGCTCCAGACGCTCGTCCACCGCCTGCAGACGGCCTGTCACATCCTCAATGGTGAGGGTGGACAAGTCTAGCATCGTCTCTATGGAAGAACGATCTGAATGTACTTTGCTAGCACGGGTGGAGGTACTTAGAGACCGCCTCCTCTTCGTCGATGGTGGCCGCCGTGGCTCTTGACTTCTTGCGATGGCGTCTGCAGGCGGAGGGAGAAATCATCCACCATTTCACCATCCTTGAACTTGAGGTTGGCATACTCCTGCTTCAAAAACTGGGCCATCACCTTCTTTGCACGGTCGGAACCGACACGCATTGCCGCAATAGCCTCCCACACCTCCTTTGCAGAGCTTTTCGCCCCCAACGGCTCCCTGTACTCCGCCGGTACAACAACGAGGATAGCCTCCAACGCTGACATGTTATCTTCCTCATTATCGGTGCCCTTGTCAACAGCATTCCAGAGCCGTCGGGCTTTGAGCTTGACCTCTATGGTCACCGACCACTCTCCATAGTTGGTGCGAGTCAGCATCGGCCAACTGGTGCCGCTGACCTCCCGCACCGTACGAACAACGACCTTCGATAGTGGCTCGGCAGCCACAACAGTGCCACTGCTGTCGCCCATCTCCGAACCATTCGTCATCGCCAGCGGTTAGTCTGGCGACGGCGCTTGTACGGCTCCGATACCACTTGTTAGCCCACAGGATCACCGGCTCAGGTGAGTCGACCACTCACCAGTCTTGCCGAGCACCCACTAGCTATGCCAACCACGAAGAAGCGTTATCCAACCACACACACTATGGCTAAGGTAGAAGAAGAGGGAGAACAGAGCATACACACAGTATAAGCACCAACGTTGGCCGGAGCCCTATATAGGAGATGGTAAAACTGAACTCTTTTTGTTGAGTTGCAGTGGCAAACTATATATACAACTATATCCATCTAGTCCTTGTACAGCTGTCCTGCTGTAACATTGACTAGACAACACAGCAGGACTGATTTCTGCGTCTGTCCCTGCATGTGGCTACAGTACGGCATGTGAGCCGTTCGGTGCCTGCCTATATAGCAGCTACAGTACCACAGCAGGGAGCCTTTTTGGCGCTGTCTTCCCTTTCTGTGTGTTCACACAAGGAAGCAGTAAATTATCTAACATATAACACATAAACTATGTATGGTACATAAAGTAGAATTTTTCATCCATATCTACCTATCCTACATTTTATTCTCTACAGAAAGCAAGCTTTAGGTTACAACTTACAACCAAATGCACAATGTTCAATTGTAGAATGATCATATGTTCAGAAATTAATATATAATGAAACTTAACAGTACAGCAGTGGCATGACACAAGCATGTAATTTGGCACTAATATGATTCCAGTAAATGGTAACGAATGATTGGAACCATACCAGGCGTCCAAGCATGGCAACCAATCTAATAGAAGCTTAGATGTAATCAACAATAAGCGTACATTCTAATTCTAAGTTTTTAAAGGCGTTTTTTTTTAAAAAAAAAACATTGTCTGAGTCACGCAAAATGAACAAGGCGATGGATAAAGATGTAATCAGAGAAATCAAATAAAGGCAAAAGCTTCTGCTACAAGAGGTGTGTCAATCAAACCAAGGTCAAGTTGGGGTAATTAGCAATGTTGGCACATCAACTTAACTCAATAAAATCAAAGAATAGATTTTCTAGCACCATTTGGCACAAATATGCAGCCAGCTGGAAATTTGAGTTCAAGCATGAGAAGCTGACTTTGAATTCATCCAAGTGAGTCGAAACAACCTTCAATTTGCAGAACTCCGCAACAAGCTTCTTAGCCTGTGAGGGCTCACGGTACCGCACAAAGCAGTACCCTTTGCTCTTCGACGTCCTCGCATCCAGGCCTGGATTACTTCCCAAATATTTTCAACCCAAACTATCACATCGAATCTTACGGTACATGCATGGAGTATAAATATAGAGAAAAAAAAACTAATTGCACAGTTTGGTTGAAAATCACGAGACGAATGTTTTAAGACTAATTAGTCCATGATTAGCCACAAGTGCTACAGTACTAACATGCGCTAATGATGGATTAATTATGCTTAATAAATTAAATCTCACAGCTATGTAATTAGTTTTTTATTAGTATCCAAAAATCTTTTCCAACATCCCGAAACATCCGATGTTACGTCTAAAAATTTTATTTCACGAACGACACACAGCCTCAGTGATCTCGCCTGCCCACCCAAACACTGACCTCACGTCTTCCTCTTTCATGTCGTTATCGAGCCCGCAGACAAATACCTCTGTCATCCTCCTTTGCCTCTCAGCCCTGTCTGAAATCCCAAATTCCTCCTTTCCTATGCTCGTACTCGCCAATTCCTCTGCCTCGCAGGCATCAGAATCAGTATTTGCCACCGGCTTACCGATTAAGGTTCCTCCCCCCACAGCCTCCTCACCCAACAAGGTTTTTTGAGCGGACCCCAACAATGTTTCATCCACATCAACGACATTGAAGCCACTAGGCAGCTCCTCGGCTTCAATTTTCCTCGCATTCTGCTCCTCGTCCGCCATTTCATCCAAAGCAGCATTTTTCCCCGCCGGTAATTCTCCAACGGCGGCCTTCCGAGCAGCTAACGTGCCCTTGGGGACAGGGTTTCTGGTAATGATGACCGTCCTCTTCATCTTGCGAGCCTCCCGTGCGAGCACCGGCCTCGCGGCGACAGGCCGCGTCTCCGTGGCCGGAGGCGACGGCGTGGAGGGTTTCTCGTCCGCGGCCGGAGGCGGCGCCGTGGGGGAATCCACGTACGCAGGCTCCGTAGTCGTGTCCCCTTGAGGCAGCGAGTACGGGCTCAGGAACGCGGCAGCGGGAGCGGAGGTTGCGAGTGCCGGTGGGGGCGGCGGGACTGGGGTGGCCGTCTTGGGCGGGGAAGGCGAGACGCGGCGCTTCTTTGAGGGCGCCTGCGCCGACGGCAGTTGAAGAGCCCCCGGAGCTTGGTGGCGCGGCGGCGGAGAGGGCGACGGGAGCGCTGCGGAGGCCGCGGGCGGCGCGAGGCGGCGGAGCTTCATGACGATTCCGGCTTGGTCGAGAGAGCTGTCTCCCACTGAACACCAGCAGTGCAGAATGAAGAGTCGAGTCAAAGCGGAGAGTGCTCATCCAGAAGACAGAAAGGTCAAATAGGTGTCGTACGAATCCCATCGAATTATACGAATCCAGATAAAAAAGAATCACAACAATTTTATTAAATTTTAAAATTCTAAAAATCTAAGTTAAAATCTTTCTAAAATCTAGACCATTTGATTAAGATACTAGGTTTCTAGGTTTTTTTTTTCTATCTGGATTCACAGAATCCAATGGATTCAAACGGGTAACTCATGACAATTCCTGCGTGTTCGTTTCTCTTTAGAGTGGTTGTGGCTACGCCTGTTCTGTAACCGTGTTTAACACTCACACTAGAAAACATCGTGCGGCTTTGCCGCGCGGGCCAGCAGGTGCCAGCGTTATGGAGCTGCTAGTAGTTGCGTAGAAGTCCAATCCAGTGTAAGCATTTTAATTTTGAGATTTACCTAATTTCAAGTCAAGACATGAATATTATTAGGACAAAGTCGATTTTCATCGATGGAGCTTCCTGCAGCGGTCCAGGATGACGAGTGGTGAGGGAAGGAAGAAACCTGACGGTAGCGTAAAATGAGTCGTGGGCAGTATATATATATATATATATATATATATATATATATATATATATATATATATATATATATATATATATATATATATATATATATATATATATATAGGATCGTGGAGCAGTAGAATCACTCAATTGTTTTATTTTATGTGTGTTATGGGTAAGCTAGTATAAAATTTCATAGCAATTTGAATAAAGAAACTAACTCTATAATTTTTTTTAGAAAACTCTTGAGAAATCTAGATCCACATTAATAGCAAAAATTACACTAAAACATGTGATGTTATGTGTTTACAGTGCAGTGCTAGTTGTGTAGAGTTCAACAAACTTGGTTTGGCATTTTTAAATTTTTATTTGTTTTATTATGTTATTTACAAAATTTCAATCGTTTTAGATAAATAACAAATTATTTGGAAAATAGAAAAAGCAGGCGTCGGGCGAATTCGGCCAAGAAGGCCCAGTGTCGACGGGAAAGCAGGCTGGCGGGAGGCACGTCGGCCCATTCAAAAGGCCTGGATTGCGGGTTGATTTCGGTAAAGTTCGAGGGCTTTTTTGCAAAAAAAAAACCCGAGAGGAGGCCTAGGATCTGGGTTGATTCGACTAAAGTTCGAGGGTTTTTGCAAACAAACCACGCCTCGCCGACGCTCTGGGCGCGTTCACGCGCGCGATCCGATCCGACGGGCAGGAGAGGTGACCACGCCACGCTTCGCCGGCCAACTTTTGGGTGCAGGTTTCATATGTAAAGATTGCAGCCACAGCTACAACTAAGCAATCTGCCTAATAGATTGTGTTTGGTTGGATTGATAAAAGCTCTATCTTGACCCGTGTGTATTATTCTGACGTGTGTCATTTAGTACACCGACCAAGTCTTTTATTCCAACTTTCAAGTTTATATATTAGGTGGTGTTTAAATAGAGGGAGTAAAGTTTAGGGGTGTCGTATGGGGTGTTCGAATGCTAATAAAAAAACAAATTACAGAATCCGTTAGTAATCTGCGAGACGAATTTATTAAGTCTAATTAATCCATCATTAGCACATGTTACTGTAGCACCACATTGTCAAATCATGGACTAATTAGGTTTAAAAAATTCGTCTCACAAATTAGTCACAATCTGTGCAATTAGTTATCTTTTTAGTCTATATTTAATACTCCATGCATGTGTCTAAACATCCGATATGATAGGGAGTAAACTTTAGGAGGGAGTAAACTTTAGGCCTCAGTAGTTATTGTAACACATGAATTTTAAAGTACTCCATCTGTCTTATATTACATAACATTCTAAAATCTCTTACGGAAACCAACACAAAAGGCAAAAGACAAAAATACCTTTCAAGGAGTAGAGATAGAGATGTATTAGTAAAAAAAAAAGTGTATTAGAAAAACAGAAAGATGTATTAGAAATTTAGAAGTGAGAAGATCAAGTATTTTAGAACAAAGTTTAAATCCTATAAGGTTACCTGTTTTGGGATGGAAGGGGTATTTAATTCAAATTACCAAAAAAAACAAATATATTGAAAAAAAATCACGCTATAAGTTTTGAGTTATATTTTTGAAGAAATTTTCTTCAGTGCCATATTTACCTATGGCCATTCAAAAATATAGCTCTCTAGTACTCTAACCGCAAGTTGAGGCAAGCGAGTCATTGAACATGACAGTCGCCACCGGCCAAGCGAGATCACTAGGCCGTCAGCAATTGATAATTCAAAGACAGAACGAAGGAACGAGGGAAATTATTTGGGAGATAAAAAGAAAAGATGAGAGGATCTAATAAACACACGGATACAAACTGGTTGTAAGTTGTAATCTCCCCTTCCGCACTCACTGCCCTCTGGGCCCACACAAAGACAAGCGTTTCACACAGTCAAACCTATGAAGGTTTGATTCTGCTTCTGAACTGTAAAGACGCAGTTCCCATATTACGCTTCCGGCTTCCTCCCCTGTTTCAGTAGCCTGAACACCGGTGTGTTACAGAGCAGCAGGAAAACTAGTATATCTGTTATATACAGGGTCTGCATGTAGGCAGCAGAGTATATATGTTGACAGAAACTTCGGTGCACAGGTGCAGCATGCTCATAGAAATATGGGCAACTATCAGTATTATCAATGAACATCAGTTCACAGCAGGCAAATACTTGCATCATCTCCGGATGTTAGATGGATTAGCAAAAGCATTGTCGACCTTAGTCGCAACTCGCAACATGCCTGATGCAGAGAATATGCACATAGCACCACTTGCTGCAGGGGGGAGGTATAAAAGGCAAAAGCAAGGTCCCTCCCCACAAGTGTATGATACACAGATACCCAACCAAACTCCAACCTCCTTCCAGTTCTACACTACATATACACAGCTATATGGGGTTCTGAGACAAGCCCAGGAGGAGTCCTCTTGATCCGTGAGTCGCAAAACAATCATCTTTAGCTGCAGTCAGTCTGTGGAAGCCCCTGAAACAACATGCAGAATACCAGATATCAAGGCTTAATCGTCACACAATAACGTGAAATGGTGTAAGCTGCTCTTACATCTCTGTAAGTGCCAGCTGTCATGTGACATCCCTGATTTGCGAGAACAGGCTTGCCTCATCTGAACAGAGGGAGACCAATGATCAAGTCTGATCGCTATGAAATCTGAATAAAACATAAACACAGGGGAATGATGGACACACTAGTTGTATCATTTTCCACACAAAAATAAAAGTATTACCAATGGGCTTCCCTGTGTCATATGCTTAAAAAAGGGTGAGCACAAATAATTCATGATGGAACAGCATACCTGAATCCCACCCCATGGTTCTTCTGATAGTACAGAATCTGAATCTGAAAGCAAAAATAGCACATCATACATGTTATACCAGATGACGGAGAGACGGATTAACGTGAGATGGGCTGCAAGGACATACCTAGTCGATATCTCCTGCTTTCATGATGATATGGAGGAGAATACTCGGTGATGGCAGGGGGCGATGCACTGTAGCTGAGATGTGTTACAGATTGAAAGAAAACTATTACTCTATGCTAAGATATGCGATGAAGAGTTGTGATCGCTTAGAAATTGAGATAACCTTGAAGTTGACGTAGCATAGGTATTCCTCTCATGTCCTGCGTGAGGGTTGCGGCCCATGTAATAAGAATCAATCCCCTGTAGTAAGCAAGATTAAAACAAATACAACAAAACCAATGAGTAAATGTTTCATGCCTATATGCTATAGCTTACAAGTGCTGAGAAAGGCCGCTTCTCTCCTGACAATATGCGGGGATAATTTTGAGTAAGCCTTCCTGCTACTTATAGGGATGAAAACATCAGCAATTGGTATTTTAAAGTTGATAGCTTCAAAATAGTGGTCATAAAGCATCAAATATCTACTGAATGCTAGAAAGCTCTATATGTTCAATGTTGCATGCATCTTGTATGTCATAGATGTACATAGCAAAAAAAGTTGTATACAAGAGCAATTGCCAAAAGAAGAGGTGCAGCCAAGATTAGTTTTTAGCTAAAACATGGAACCCTCCAATATTACTATTTGCAATCATTTGCATATTAGCAAACAGATCAGGGCTTCAAAATTAAACCAGAAAATTAACTTGGTCAAAGAAAAATGAAACATAAATCCTAATATGACATCAGAAAACCAGTTAGTTTGTTGAGTAACATTATTAAAAATAACAAATAAGAAAAAGTCATCCAACAATACCACCTTGTGCATTTTTAAAAATAAATGTAACATGCAAGTTATTGAGTCCATTTAAATGAATAGTTATCAACTTTATATATCCTTAGTTGAAGGTTTTGTTTCATCTAGGGGGTGAACAATGTTTATCCCTTGATGAAAGCTTTCCAAGGTAGAGATAAAATAAGTCACTGGTCTTAAATACTAATATGAGACTGCAAATTAATCTGATGCAGAATTTTACAGTGTTCAACTGGCCACATGAAACTAACCTGAACCAGTATGTTCATGTCTCCAGGGAACCATCTCCCTCAGAACCTGAACCAAGCCATGATCTGTTGATGACTTCTTATCCCCTGTGGGTGGAACCGCCCTGGAACTGGAAGGGAATATATGCAGTGAAGACGGCCCAAGTATTCTTTCACCTAGTGAAATCGATGAAATGGTTGAGAGAAATTGAGAAAAAGCACTTAACTGTTCATGAGCAAAATAACTTTCAAAAATAGACTGAATTCATCTTATTAAGGCGTGCCACTGCCACCCTTAGCTCATTACAATCTATCTAAAAATGAAAAAGAGGATAACAGGCAATATATGTAGATATATAACTCTGCATGACACCTGCAAATTCAGATCATTGGATTACTACAGAAACTAGCTAACCCGATACCAGACATTGTGACCAAGAACAGCAAGAAGACAGCAGTTATATACTTATACATAAGGTATACTATGTTTACAATATTTTGTACACAGAGAAACAGTAGTTAACAGAGGGTGAGATTGGCAACCATAAGTTAGGCACATAATCGGAAATGAACTAGAAAGAGGACGATGGGGATTTGAAAGGAATTAACTCATTTTGAGCAGTCTATATTTTATCTTTCTCAGTAATACAAAATCTATGATCTTCCATAATCTTCTTGCCCTTTTGGACAGATTTAGCAAGAGTGACTCTAATATTAACCTGGCATGAAACACTAAAAATGTGAGAATCATGTTAAAAAAACCCTCCAACTTAGACTAAGATATTACAAAGGACCTTTCAACTATTTCCCATCAAAATGATTCAAGACACAAGATAGCAGCCTCATGAGTAGTGTAATTAATGAATGCAATGTCATTCCTTTTAGCTGGATGCATATCATATGATTGAGCTACAAGTTCGATGTTTCCATATTTCTTGAAAATATCTGTCATCTTAGCTTGATCCCAAGAATTCAATACACCTTCCACAAAGACTGCTTACACCTAAATGTTACTTACAACTCTTTGGGAATTTGTGACTAGCCACCGAAAACACAGCCAACTATGATGTTCAACTGTGACAGGGCCAATGAAAAAGGACTGAACCATTGATATACACACATACAGAGTCTAAAGTACTTCCAAAATCAAATTGTTACAGGTGCAAAATGTCATAGCCTAATGTACTTCTAAAGTCAGAATCGTAGCTGCTATACAAAGTTTCCAGTCTTATTTGACCCAATGCACCACAAATGTGTTAATGTCTTCAGGAAATGGATACCAAAAAATGTTACAGATCACAAACAGCCTATGTATGTGTGCGTCCATGAATGTGCGTTGTTCTGCGCGTGCGTGTGGCATGTGCGTCCATGAATGTGTGTGCGCGTGTGTGTCGTCATGTGTGTCATGTCTCATGTGTGTGTGTGTGTGTGAGAGAGAGAGAGAGACCTTGTGGATCTGTTTTTCATCTGGACCATTCAATGGTTCGGCCCATGCAACTCTTATATTTAAACCCTTGCCAAAAACATATTTCCTTGAAAGCTTTTTGTATGCAATCTGTGCATCTTTATAAGTCTCCAGTTCAACAAATGCAAATCCACGATTATAGCCTGGATTATTAGAGTCAGCCGGAAGGGTAGCGACGTCAATGTTCTCAACTCCAATTTTCTGTAGTAGTTTCATGATCTGCTTCAAAGAAAAACATGTAAGCAAGCAGCCAATTATTTAGGAGAGAATATCGAATCAAGCTGTTCACAAGAAAGAAATAGTAGCTACAAGTGCAGTTATGCTCACATCGTCTTTCTTCCATTTCTTATCAAGGTTCCCAAGAAAGATTTTATCATTCCCACCCAGAGCTGCAACTCGACACTGCTTTCCACAAATCTAGTAATTGGGTTTCAGAGAACAAGGTAACAATTAATCAATATGGAGAAAGACAAGAGAAAGGGAAACAGGGAGACAATCAAACATAAGTCACTTTCAACTTGGCTAGCAGACACAACTGTGGTATCATGAAGTCCCAATGGCTTTTCATACAAGCAACAGTCACAAAATATGCTAATGCATAGATTCTAACACCGTGGAGCTTGCCCAAAACCCCGCGAGTGTGTCATGCAGTGGTATTTCAAACGAAATGTTCAGGTGGGCATCTTGTCCCCTTTTGATTGTTAAACAAAAATTAATGAATTTGGCCATGTGGGTCAAGCACAACCTTAACGTTGCTGAAGTTTGCAATGGCCTTCCTTGCCTGCGCAGACTCACGGTAGCGCACAAAGCAGTAGCCTTTGTTCTTCTTCGTCGTTGCATCCATGATCATGCGAACTTCCGTGATATCCCCCGCCACTGAAAGCGCTGCCCTCACGTCCTCCTCCTTTGTGTCCCTACTGAGTCCATCGACAAACACCTCTGTCATCCTCCTCCTCTGCCGCTCCGACATTACCACCTCAGCCCTGTCCTCACCCCTGCTCCCCAATTTCTTCACCTCATGCTCACCACCAATATCCGTTGCCAGCCCACTGGCTAGTGTTCCTCCCCGCACCGTCCCCTTACCCAATAGTGTTTCACACACAGCCGTCCCCTTACCCAGTAGTGTTTCACACACAGCAGTGGCCAGTTTTTCAATTGTGTGTCCCCCAAAACTCTGTTCCTTCTGCACCACTTCATCCACCGCGGCAGCATTTTGAGAGGAATAGTCCAGAGCGTGTCCCTTCCCAGGCTGTAACGCTCCGGCGGCAGCCAAAGCCGCCTCCGCCGCAGCCTTCCAGGCTGCGATCGTGCCTTTGGGGACCCTTCTTTTGATCGTCCGTACCTTTCGTGTGATCTTACGCGGCTTTGTTGCGGGAGCCGGTTCCGTGGCCGCGTCGGTCGGAGGCGGTGCGGAGGGTTTCTCGTCCACAGCCAAAGGAGGAAGAGGCGGCGGCGAGGAGGGTTTTCCCGCGAGTGGCGGCGTTGGCGGCGAAGAGGTTTTTTCCGCGGGTGGAGGTGGCGGCAGCGGCGGCGAAGAGGGGTTTTCCACGGGCGGCGGAGGAGGTGGCGGAGGCGAAGAGGGTTTTTCCGTGGGTGGAGGTGGTGGCGGCGGCGAAGAGGGTTTTCCGCGGGTGGCGGCGGCGAGGGTTTTTGGGCCGAAAACAGAGGCGACTCTGCGTCGTCCACCTGGGGCGGTTGGGTGGGGGCTGGGACCGCGACCGCTACGGGGACAGGTGGGGCAGGAAGGAAAGGGATGGTGGCCTTGGGCGGAGTCCGCAGGACCCGGCGCTTCTTCGGAGGCACCAGTGCCGATGGCAGCGGCAGCTCCGGCGGCCGGAGCGGCGGGGCGGCTCGGTTGCTCGGGGATGGAGGTGGAGGTGGCGGGGGCGTCCTGGAGGCGGCCGGTGGCGTGGGGCGGCGGAGTACATGAGTAGTAGTAGTTGTAAGTGGCTGCATGACGAAGAATCGCTCGCGAACTCACCAAACGGGCGGAGAAGTGAAGAACTGCCGTCCGTTCGGCCTGTGTCACTTCGCTCGAGGGGATTGGGTGGAGTGGAAGCACCGTACGCGGCGACATGAAGAGGACATGTTTTGGTGGGGTCCACCTCACGTTACTCCTGGAGTCCTGGTCCTTTTTCTCCTGGTCCTGGGTAGACGTAGGATTTGAAGGAAGTTCAATTTGATTTGATTTGAAACGAATTCCAGGAAGCACAGCGACTATACTAGTACTACTACTTCCGTTCCAAATTATAAGTCACTTTAACTTTCTTTGATACATCTAATTTACTATGCATCAAAATATAGTCTAGATACGTAGCAAATGAATAAACCAAAAATATTAAAGCGACTTATAATTTAAAACAAAGAGAGTAGTATTTTTCTCTCCCCTTTACTTTACTTCATTTATGACTCCCGAAACTACCACCCTTGTAGTGGAATTTAAATTTTTTTAATAGTTCATTTATACGGTAAAGCATTACTCCTTTGTGCAGTGCACAACCTACTTCCATAGTTCCATAACACATCTTTATTTAGTTTTTTTTAAATAACACATCTTTATTTAGGCCTCGTTTGGTTTTCCTTGTCACACTTGTTTGGTTCTAGTAACTAAAGGTCATTAAAACAATTTAATAAAGGCCAAACTATCCCTAATAAATTCACAAATCATGGTGGAGGACCGACAATAATGAGGGACAACCCTTGTCCACTGTGCATTTTAGTCCCTTTTAGCATCTCCTTGGGGTACTAATGTGACTAAACTACTTTAGTCCCTTTTTAGTCAGTTTATTTAGCAATTTAGTGTCTAAACTGACTAAAGTTTAGCAGGGAGAACAAAACAGGCCCTTAAGTTGTTGTCGTCAGTAGTTCTGAAGTCATTATTTTTTTTACCAGCTCCTCTATACGAGTTATTGGCTTATTTTGCCAATTTGCCTCCTGTCTTCCAAAAGGTGATGATATATAAATGTCTTAGAAGATGAATGAAACATAGATGGATGAATTTTGGTTGTTGTTTTCTCACGAGGCATTCGTCTTGGAAGGCCATGTTATGTTTGAATTTGGAAAGAAAGGAGCTAGCATCCTTGTTTTACTATAAGCAACTATACATATATGTTGGGTTAGGTTTGGGAGGCAGCAGGAGCAGATTACATGGGTCATCTGCAAGTTTCCGTTGCCCTTGATCTTGTCAGAGGACTAGAGAGAAAATGGTGTCTCATGCCAAACAGTGCTGCCCGGCTTGTGCCTCATTTAACACCGGGATTCTTCTATACCTCGAATTGAAGATATTTGTGTGCACAAAACCTGGAGATTCTAAAGAAAAATAAGAGGCACATGTATGTACAGATTTACTTGAGTTTAGGGTCGTCAAGTTAGACATGCGCTAGGCGCATGGCGTTGATGTAGTGGATGGGAGCTTGATCTTGTTCTAGCAAGAACTTTAAAGTGACCATAAAGTGACTTCCTTGACATCCATTATTTCAACAGCTTTTGTTGGGAAGACATCATGTACGTACTCCTACAACATAAGGTCCATCTCTTTTGCTACCTCTGAAAAATAGTTTAAACCTCGAGTTGTATAAACGCATTTTGCTTCCCTTTTTGAATTTATTTTTAGGAGCTTTCTCTCGAACCATGGTTTGGTTTTTGCTTTTGCAAGAGCCAGCACTTCAACCTCAACCTCAGCTTCTCTAGTTCACTTATTTTAATTCTTTTTTATTGCAGCATTCAAATATAAGTTCATTTCTCTTATTATAGCCCAATTCTCCTTATGCTCTGTTTCTACTAGCAAATGACATGTTTTTTTATAAACAGGTTAATTAATATGCGTATGGGTCCCACCTATGTGTCTTAAACGAAGTTCTTTATGCCAACTGAGCTACGCCAAACTTCTTGGACCAATTCTTCCCTCCTATATAGTTACAGGCTTGTTCAATATGCTCTTGAGTTGCTTATTTGAGGTCTGACCTTGCCCATATGTCTGATGATGATAAGATGTACCCACTGTGTGATAAATTCCTAATTTCCACAGGCATTTTGTAAATTCATTTCCAAAAAGTGGCTACCTCCATCAGTAAACATTACTCTTGACGCACCATACCTAATATTCTTTATCACATATATAAATTGATCGTTCCTCAATTGAAGCCCAAACTTGCAATCATATTAAGACCAATCCTAGCCTTTGCATAGCTAAGGTGCACACAACCTATAAAAAAAGGAAAAGAAAAAAAAAGACATGGCAACATACATCATGTTGCAGCAGACAACAACACACAATTAATCTTCAATTCATTATGCCATCATATAGCAACATCTGTTTGTGAGAGGGTTACGTTCCTAGAACAATGCCTACAAGAAGGACACGACATGCACACGCACCATTGTTGCCATGATCCAACAAGTGATTGAGTGAAGACCGGACCATAGATTTTCATCTCAGACAGAAAAATCTCGAACACACCGAAATAATGCTTTCGGACGAGGTCATTGGCATGTACAAACAGCTAAGGAGAGATCTAGAGATTGCTCCTCGATGTCGAGGAGTCAGTACCCAACAAGTAACACACCAAGTCAAAGTCCGTCGACGCTACCTCCCTCTTTTTCGAGCCAATGTTGCCACAATACCTAGCCTGGACTAACTACAGCCAACCACAAACTCCACCACCTGCAATTCCCACAATGATCTTTTCAGGAGTCACCTAATAAAGACACGTGATGCATCACCGAGAAGTCCGTGAGTGTGGGTCTAAAGGCGGGATGCATCATAGGAGTTAGAGATTCCATGAGACAATGCCAAGATGACTCCAGTCAGCAAGAATATAAGGAAAACACTGGCTAGAGAAGAAGATGTCATGACGAGAAGTGGTTGCAAGGGTGCTGTTACGATGAAATGTGGCTATGGAACTCCAGTTTGCGTGGCTATGGAACTCTAGCTGCCGGCTGCAATGACACTAGTGACATCACCGCAGGCCGCAAATAGAAGGTCGACTTGAAGTATGTTTGATATGATTTGATTTGAAATGAATTCTAGGAAGGACAAGACTATTATCTTTCTCTCTTTTTCTTTTCTTCATTGACTACTGAAACTCACTAGTAGAGAAAGCGGTTTTGATCCACTTGAAATTTAGCTTTAGTCCCGGTATTTTTTGCGTCTGGGACTAGACAAACCTTTAGTCCCGGTTGGTAGCTCCAACCAGAACTAAAGGTCTCGCCCAACGACTCTCACGGCGGGCTTTTGCTCTGAGGAACCTTTAGTCGGTTGGAGCTACCAACCGGGACTAAAGGTTAACTTTACTCAGTTGGTCCCTCAACCGGGAGTAAAAATCTACTCCCGGCTGGAGGCTCCGTCCGGGACTAGAAAGGGACCTTTAGTCACAGTTTTGTCTCCAACCCGAAACTAAAGGTCCCCTCCTATATACCCCTTCTTCCTCCCGAGCCCGAGCCACTTGAGCTCAATGTTCTTGCTTTATCGCTGGCCTCTCTTCTTCCTCATCGCCGGTAATCACAAGATTTCTTCGATTCCTCCATCGATTCTTCGGTTCTAAAGGTTACCAACTTTATACTCTCATATTTCATCAGTAGCATATCTCATTTTGTGGACTAGATATATGTGATTTTTTATGGTGGATTTTTTTATTTGTAAGCCATTTAAGCTCAAAATCACTTTAAAGTTTGCATATTTGGATGAAGGAAGGTTAAAGTAGTTATTCAAAACTAGTATTCAGCTTTCATTTCTTGCATGCATAGCACACTTCATGGTTTAGAGATATAGAGAATTTTAGAGTTTTTTTAATTTTATTTGTTTATAAAACGAGAAATTCATATTATATTAAAAATGAGTATAGAGAGTAGATGGCAACTGCTTCCGGGTCCTTGGCCTCTCATCGGGTTCCAAAGCGACTGAGGTCGGACCTCCCTCTCATTGCATGCGGCAAGTGTGAGGAGAAGATTGTGATGGAGTACCGGGTGAGGAAGGAGTGTCCCAACAAGGGCCGTATCTTCTACAAGTGTCCGATTCGCAATGTGAGTTATTTTGTCGCATTTGATGATTATGGTTAATGTATACTTATTTTTATGATGATTGTGATTAAAGTTCTAATTTTTGTTTTAATTTGATTGGGATGGCACTTTGGATGTTCATTTGGTCTTGGGAGGAAGAGTATGTTGAACACGTGCAAAACTCTCTTGCACAAAGCGGATCTGTTGGTGATGAGGCGATGATCCTGGAAGAAGCCCATAGATGTTGAACAAACGCATGATCTGTCTGCATTTTAGTTAGGATTGGTCATGAAATCCTTATCTTCTTTGAAGTGCATTTTAGCTTTAGTTTTTTAGTGGTAGTTGGGATTGTCTACATTATAGCGAGACTTTCATAAATTAATACCTTGTGTGGTGGCATGCATATCGTATAATTAACTAATTATGTTCTAGGTTTTAATATGGTATGTATGTCATGTAATGCAGATGAGCCGGCATTGGATGTACAATGCTGATCGCCGCTCCCAAGAGTTCATTGAGGCGTGCATCTCTTTCTTACGTGTGGCGAGGCAAACAAAGCGCGATGGTTTCATGTCTTGCTTACGTGCCATATGTAAGAATTTGAAGGAATATGCTAGCTCAAGGAGTCTTCATTCACACTTGTTGAAGTCGGGTTTCATGCCAAACTATATTTGTTGGACGAAGCACGGAGAAACCGGGGTTGTAATGGAAGAAGGTGAAGAAGAACAATGGGACGATGATGACATTATTGCTGAATATGGTGCCTTCAATGATACTGCAATGGGGGAAGCTGAAGAAGAGGTAGGGGCAGAAGATGAGCCCGTGATGATCTTGGTGGAGCCATTCGTGACGCACAAAGAGAATCACGAAAGTGAAAAGGAGAAGATCAAGTTCGAGCGCATGCTAGAGGATCACAAGAAATTGTTATACCCAACTTGTGATGTGGGGCAGAAAAAGTTGGGTACCACACTGGAATTGCTGCAATGGAAGGCAAAGAATGGTGTATCTGACAAGGGATTTGGGGAGTTACTGAAAATCCAAAAGAAGATGCTTCGAAGGATAACGAATTGCCCGCCACTACGTCTGAAGCAAAGCAGGTAGTCGCCCTTTGGGATTAGAAATCCGGAAGATACATGCATGTCCTAATGATTTGCATCCTCTACCGTGGCGAGGAGTACGAGAAGTTAGATGCATGCCCGGTATGTCATGCATCGTGGTATAAGATCAGACGAGATGACCCAGGTGATGTTGAGGGCGAACGTTCTCAAGTAGTCGCTTTTATGTGTCCAACTCGCATGTTTCTTGTTGGTATAGGGAATTTCATCGTCAATTCTGGCGTAAATCAAGGAAACCTACCCCGCACGAAAGTGATACCCTTCTCAAAGAGGGTGCGGGAAATGGAAAGCCTGATTTCATTTCTTGGTTCAAGCAGAAGGTATAGTTCAATTTAGCTCGTACTTAGTTTGATATTACAAGTTGCTTGTACATGCAAATAATAAAACGCACCACCCTGCTTGAACTTGCAGGGCCAAACCGAAGCGTCTATGAATGTCGAGTTGAGACAGGTTGCGATGGTTGTTCCTATAAGGTCGGTCGTTTACGGTTATGGCGTCAATGGATATTGCTTTCACACAACAAAGGCACGCAGCGAGTCGGCCCAATCGAAGAACCACAAATCTTTGGAGTTTTACATGAGACTTTGATGGGGTCGAGTACTATGGAATAATTGAAGAAATATACGAACTAACTTTTCATGGTTGCAAACCTCTTAATCCAGTCATATTCAAATGTCATTGGTTTGATCCAGATGTCGTGAGACGCACCCCTAATCTTGGGCTAGTCGAAATTCGACAATCATCCTTCTTACCAGGAGACGACATCTATATTATGGCTCAACAGGCCACGCAAGTTTATTATTTGTCATACCCGTGCCAAACCGACAGCCGTCTTAAGGGTTGGGATGTTGTGTACAAGGTATCGCCACATGGTAAACTACTTGTACCAAACAATGAAGATTACAATATAGACCCCAACACATATGACAGAGAGTTCTTCCAAGAAGATGGGCTCGAAGGGAGTTTTGTGATAGATTTAACCGAAGTGATCGAAATGGAAGTAGACAATGAAGGGGTTGCTGACGAGGACGCTGGAGACGAGGTTTAGAATGTGAAGGACTTAGAACTACTTCAGCGATTACAATTAGGCAATGACAGTGATCACGACATTCCTCCTTCGGAGCACGAGCATGATTATATCGACACGCGTGATAGTGATGATGAGACTTATGATCCAGCTAATCCCGATCATGACGATTATTTCTAATACATGTATGAGTCGTACTAATTTATTTATTATTTATCATACCATGTTATTTTTGAAGTATGTTAAGTTAATTTTGCATATCTTTCTAAGTATGTTTTGTTTATCTGTGCTGATTGGTTTACTCTTTTTATTTGTAGGTCATTGAGCAATGGTGGGCGCTACGAAGAAGCTCGCGGCGATTTGCGAGAGAATTGCCGCTGTAGGGAGGGGTTCAGGTTCTGGGTCAGGGTCAGGTTCTAGGAGGCGTCGAGGCCGGGGTGAGGAGGAGGAGGAGCAGGAGCAGGAGGCGGGAGGCAGGAGCGGGAGGCGGGGAGGCGGAGGCGAGGCGTAGGGGTCGGCGGAAGGGTAGGGCGAGGCCCCGTCGCTGAACTGACCCCGACGCCCTGAGGAGGAGGAGGTACCTTCCACACGCCTCTGGTGAGGAGGAGGAGGAGGAGGAGGAGGGAGGAGGAGGAGGCGAGGAGGAGGGGGGGGGAGGGGAGGAGGCGGGGATGCCCAGGTCAAGATCTGGTTGCGAGGTCCCTCGTCCCTCCCGAGGCATCCGATACCTGAGCATAGATGTCCGCTGATTAAACCGATAGGGACCAGGTAAGTAACTTTAAATATTTGCAATAATTTTGATATGTTGAAAATTACAAAAGAAACTAATAATTTATATTAATCACTTGTGCAGGAGTTGGATTAAGCTCAGTGGGGGTGATCACAACCGCAAGGTCAATGGCATCCTTGGCCTTTTTTGCAGGGAACACTTCCCTAGCTTGGTGGCGTCGACGGACAGACAAGAACTGGCCTACACGTGGGACCACTATGTCGCCGCCCCCGACGTCCCTGATCGTGATCGCAGGAGATTCACCAACATAGCGGAGCAGGTGAAGGGCGAGCTGTGGGTAAGTATTCCTCGCACTACATTGCTCAATACATCACCTTCACTGGACATTCTTGAAATAATAACTTTATACATCGCCTCTATATGCAGGACTTCTACAGATGCCAGGATGGATTCGAGGCCAAGGCGAAGTCCGTCTCTGAACAAGCCACCAAGAAGCTCGTGAAGGACATGCACTACGAGGCGCGCGTCCAGGCCATCATCGAGTTCTACGCTCAATACAGAACCATGAAGGTTAAAAAAGAGGAGGCAAGGACAATGAACCTGACCAAGGACCAATTCATGAGTGTAAGCAAAGAACGTTGATACTTACTTTATTTGAGATTAATTACGCTTAATTTCTTTTTTCATAAGTCACATGCTTGATGATGTAGGTGCCTCCGTGGTGGTGCCGAGCGCATATCCGGTGCTGGGAAAAGATGGTGGATGAGTGGTTGCAGCCCGGGTGGTTGGAGCACCACCTTGCTTGCCGGGAGCGATGCTTGCAGATGCCAGGTGCATCACACCATCAAGGCAGCCTGAGCCTTGATGAATATAGGGGAAAATGGGTACGCAACTTCATTTCTTTATTCTAACGCTCAATTCTACATAATTTCTAATCATTTTGCATTTTTGCCGTAGTCGTCGTCACATGATGGCCAGTCTTGCTCCCAGCTCAAGGCATGGGTTCTGTCCAAAAAGGGCAAGGCGACGGCCGACATTGACTTCAACCCGGAGGACCCGCTTGAGGCGTACAGCCATCCAAGCATCCACAACCGCGTCACCCAGTATACAGCGATGGCAAGGGAGGTTCACGGGCCACAGTTCGATCCGAGCTCCTAGGATATTGACGAAGAAATCGTGACGAGGGTGGGAGGAGGCAAGAAGCATGGTCGGTATTGGATTGGCGACAGCGTAATCGACACGGCCTCTACTCCCACTCTCTCCCAGATCCGAGCAAGGAGCATGAACTCGAGCCCAGCGATACGCCCACGGCCGACCACTGCACAGCTCCAGATAGAGGCTCTCCAGGTTCTTTCTCTTCCATTCATCATTCGTTGGCTCTTACGTACTTTAGCTTTGCATTGTAACATTGCGATGAAATATTTTAGGCCCAGGTGGAAGCAGAAAAGAAGCAACGGGAGGAGATGGAGGCGAGGGTGGAGCGGTTAGAGGCCGAGCGGCAGAGGATGGACGAAGAAAATCGGTTGAGGATGGACCAAATGTTCCAATACATGCAGAATTTTGCATCGAGTATGGGTCAACCTTTGCCACCGCCACCGATGCTATTCCCTTCACCTCAGCCACCCACAACTACTCCTGTGAGTCACTTGACACCTTGATATCTCTCATAAAATATTTGACATACTTTTAGGAATGTGTTAAATAAGCTGTCCAAATTGTCAGCAAGCTCCTTTACTGCTTTCAATGAAAAAAGTACTCAGGGATACATAGGAAATAAGATCATGTTCGAAATATAAATTTATTTTGACTGGAGCAAGTATTTTGCATCTCCCCTGCACTGGTCTGGGGCTCATGCCTGCCTCGTCCTGACTCGTTCAGCTGAAATCCTCTGTCTAACCCTTTCTACTTGCTCACATTCCTTCAAGAGCAAGGTCTCAACTTCCGCAAACTGCTTCAGCTTCAACTCCAATCTCTTTAACTGCAAATTGAGTGTTGCAATATCAATAAGCCATCCTCAGCAAACAACATACTAGAGTAAGTGTGAATAAGGGTCTATCAAAACAACTACCATGCTGGTACCAGAAAATTTAACCCTACTCTGACTTGGATCCAGCAAAAAAGCTCACTCATACTATATACTATCAAGCTAGGCTAGGAAACAAAACTTAGTTCCAGGAGTGCCAGACTGCTTTTCTAATTTAATTAAACAGGCAACTCAGATATCAAGGGACCCGAAAGTCTTAGCCGACTTCTAGAACCTAATACCAGTTTTCATCTAACGATAAGTCAGATGTGAAGGGACTCAAACAAGTCCAGCGCCAATCCTGCAACAACAAATGGTCCAGTTCAGTAGAAATCTACCACCCCTAAATCAACGGCTTGACTCAGTCACAACAAATGGAGACAACTGTGCATGCAAATCAGATGGCGAAACCCATACTAACCTGATGATTTATTACAGTAGCAGCTGGCCTTTGAACTTCACGTTCCTCTTGATCGGCAAAGAGCTTAGACTTCATTGCTGCTGCTGACAGACCAAACATGGCAGCATGTTTCACATTTTCTGGAGAAACGGATGGTGAAGCACCTGTTTGGAAAATTAATGATTCTTTTAACATTCATGTCTAGAGTGAACTAATCAGGATTTTGCTAGCAACATTGACTGTAGCAGGTATTAAATACAAAGCAGATACCATTATGGTTCCGAAATTTTGGATTTGTACCATTGCCCATACCATCAGCATGCATGCCTTCTGAACAGTTTAGGAGAGATTCCTAGCTCACTTGGTAATCTTTCTTCCCTGGCCAATGCCACAAATTTGCAATATCTAGATCTCCGTAGCAATCCATTCACAGGTGTTATTCCTTCACTGGGATCCCTGACCTTGTTGAGTGGCAGCAGCACGTAGCCTGCTGTGTGCTTAACACCATGTTGCAACTGGCAGCAGCACGTAGATATGTGGATGCTTGCTAATTCCCTTATTTTTAACATGCAAGTAGCCTGCTGTGTGCATAGCACGAATTTAAGTGTTGCATTAGTGTTGAATGTTGTGATTACAATTACAGTATGTTGTAGATGCACACCTTTCGATACTGAAATTCACTTTGCAATATGAAGTCTAACACTGTTAAAAAGGAAGCTAACACTGTTTCGAATACTTCTCTTTTGTGCAGAATCAATCGGCGGCATCAAATAATCAGTCTCAAGACCCAGATTTGTTGCAGAGGTTCCAATGGCCTACGCAGTGATTGCATTTGCATTGTGTCTTATTGTGACTTAGTTGTGACTTGTGATGATGGTTTATTGTAAATTGTGATGATGGTTTATTGTGACTTGTGATGATGGTTTATTGTGAATTATGATGATGGTTTATTATACCTGTGACATATAATTATGCCTGTGATGATGTTTTATTGTGAATTGTCATGGTTTTTTGTGAATTGAGAGGGGTCCGTTATATGTGACAGATTAGTAAAAAAGGGAGGGGCCTTGGTCGCTTTGCCGAGTGTAACACTCGGCAAAGAAAGGAGTTGCCGAGTGTCAAGGCAAAACACTCGGCGAAGAGACCATTTTCTGTCATTCTGGGAACCTTCTTTGCCGAGTGTTTGGTCTTTGACGAGTGTATTCCAATGGACACTCGGCAAAGTGACCATAAAATCTGACCTTTGCTCGCTTGTTTGCCTAGTGTTTTAGGCGTGGCACTCGGCAATGTGTCTAAACTTTGCCGAGTGTTATAGTGTGGCACTTTGCCGAGTGTTTTCGTCCTGACACTCGGCAAACTTGAGAAACTTTGCCGAGTGTTTTCGTCCTGACACTCGGCAAACTTGAGAAACTTTGCCGAGTGTTTTCGTCCTGACACTCAACAAACTTGAGAAACTTTGCCGAGTGTTTTTCCGTCGTGCACTCGGCAAAATCGACGTCACCGTTCCATCCCGTCAAAAAAATTTTGCCGAGAGTTTATTTTTACCGAGTGTTTATTGACACTCGGCAAACTGTTTGCCCAGTGCTCGATAAAAAACACTCGGCAAACTACTGTTTACCGACAAATCAATGCCGTGTGCTGTATGCCGAGTGTAACACTCGGCAAAGCGTTTGCCGAGTGTCTTTGGGCCTTTGCCGAGTGCCCCTAGCACTCGGCAAATCTTCTGTATCCCGTAGTGAGCACAGGCGGACTCACCGGCCATGGCCACTACAACGATGGCTACAATAGGCCAGCGCATCCCCGCGCACCAACGGTTGGGCCCGCGTCGACGCGGCCCACCACGTCGTCGTTCGCGGCGTAGGTTGCCGAACCCGGCGGGTGCCAGAGCACTGCCGGACCCACCGCCCATGGCCGCTGCATCGTCGGCAGCAGCAGGCCAACGCATCCCTGCACACCAGCGGTTGGGCTCGCGTCGCCGGTTCTCAGCTCCGGACGCTGTGGGTTGGCAGCCCCAGCGCACGGGACAGACCTACGGTGTCATGGACGCGGCGGGTGCGCCCCGTCGAGAGTCCAAGCGAACTGCTTCTGGCAAGCGCTTGGCCTCCGTGGTGGTGCGTCTGGCCCGCCTGTCGTCGGTGCCCGATGCGGAGGGATATCATCACGTCCACGGCCGTCACGCCGCAGGGCGGAGCCTCGGCTAGCTAAGCCGGTGCCGCCAGAGCTCGTCGGATTATGCTTCAACTGTCTGGCTGATGACCATGTCAAGGCTGACTATCGCTACGCTTCACACTGCTTCGACTGTAGGCGCGAGGGGCATCGAACTCGGAACTGTCTGCTGGGGCGTCTCGCCGGCACTCCTCGGGTGGTTGTCGCGCCCACGCCTCTGCTGACTCTGAGCGCTCCATCGCGCTGCGCACATTCAGGTCGGGGCCCGCCGGCATCGGCCGCGGCGGGGGACCGTCGCTGGGCCCGGCAAGTTCCTGTCGGCAATCCGTTCTCATTGGGGCGGTCCGTTGCTCGCTGTTCATGGGAAACGCTGGGCCCACAGGGGCAAGCGTCACGATTGGTGGGCCGCGCGAGATCCTGGATGTCGCATCGCCGCGGCCTTGGGAGCGTGCGCCTATAGCTCTGTCACTTGCAGACACTGTTGCTCCATGCTTTGCTGATGTCCGCCAGCTTTGCTACAGGGAGGCCACGTCTGGTGTAGTACAGCAGGTGGGAGAGGCCCCATGCTACTTGAGGCTACGGTGCTGACTTTGGCCGGCTCGGGGATCAAGGTCGCCAAGCCACGGTTGATTCTGCCGAGCCCCTTGCCCCACCTGCTCAGGGCGGTCTCGCCTAGGAGCAGCATGTGTGGGCTGGTGGGCCGGATACTCGCGTTTGACCCGGAACTTCATTGCGGAGGCCCAGGGGGACCCAAGCTTGGGGAAGCATCTGGGGGGGCACATCTGGAGGCTGTTTCCTCCTATTGGTAGGCCAACTGTGTCGAAGTGGAGCTCGCTGGCCCATCTCGCTCGGCCCCTTCTTCGGACGAGGAGCACTCGGACCTCGCGAGGACGCCGTCCAAAGTTCCTTCCCCGCCTATGGCCTCGTCGACCATGGGCGCGGCGGCGGCTGTGGCGCCAGCTCCGGTGTCACCAAGTGGCATCTCGCAGTGTCTACAGTCGCAACTTTGCTCTGCCATCACGGAGCCGATCTTGGTCAAACCTCCACGTCTCCGTGTTCCTAGGAGGCGTGGTGCGGTTGAATGCACATTCTCACCGCCACGTCGTAGCGGGAGGCTGGCGGCCAAGAGCAGATGCAGAGCCTCCAACCCGACCGTGCAAGCCGAGAACGTGATGATGGCACAATGGGAAGTTCGCCAGCAGGATCAGGCGCTGCAGGCCGATGCGGAGGGCGATTTCGATGAGTACATGGCCCTATTTGGCGGGCCTCTCTTGGAGTCCAAGCACGAGGCAATCAGGACGCTCTTCCCGGCAAGCTGCGTGATTGCGGGCATCTAGCTGGTGGAGGGGGTTGACCTCGAGGTTTAGCCTACCTCTGGGTACCCGTTCTACGTCGCCCAATCGTTGCCCATGGCCTAGTTTACTAGCTCACTGTCGCTCAGCCCGTTGTTGCTTTTAGTCCCTCTTGTGGGCTTCGTCGTAGTTTTCTTTAGTTTTTCGCTTATGTTTTTCTTCCTTCTCCTCGCCTAGGCAACATTTGGTTATCTAGTGTTGAGCCATTTGTTGTTTTGTTCGGTATTGTCTACTTTCTCTTAATGAAATACGTGCTACATGGCATGTTCGCGAAAAAAAATTTTGGCCTGGTTCTAGAAACGAAGTATGCAGATTAAAAATAACAAAAAAAATGGTAATGAAGTATAATATGATTGAAATGCAATCAAATTATTTTAAAAAAAATTATAAATGAGATACAGCAGGTTAGGAGGTAATTATACATACAAAGAACTGATTTGTTTAATATACAGCAAGCAGGTGCATAACGAATTGCCTGATGCTCTGACATTTCAGTTTGAATAGTAGGGTCCTAAGAACTTGACTGAATATGAATATATGAATAGTATAGTAACAAGCAATGCTTTTTTAACACATGATGACATGTAAAGCACAAAGGGCATTAGTACCACAATAATAAGAAAATGAAATTTTTTTATTTTGCATATGGAAACTAATCTGCACCTGGTTTCTAGCCATTTGTACAACAAACTGAACTGGTGAAGGGATATTTAGCTCACTGATCTAACTGATATAACTAAATACCTAAGCTGTGTACTTAACTGTTAATGGAAATGCAGATCAAGGAACTATAAAAGGTTTTGGAAAATAGATTATTGCAGGACTCTCCAAGGAGAGGAAGCGAGAACTCTGAGGTGAAGATAACGGCACCACAGCGGGCAGCCGACGGGAGCGAGTCCGGGGACCGAGCTAGGCGGAACGTACTGGTGCCAGTCGGCAAGCGCCTGCTACCATGGTTGCCACATACCTGTTCTCGCTGGGGCTAACAGGCAGGGTGTGTCTTTGCGGCCGTAGCTGCGTACAAAGCAGAGCACGCGGAGGGTGGAGGCCGGCGAGCGAGGTCGCCGTGTCTCGCACTCTCGCGCCGCCATTTCGCCGGCGCTGCCGCCGCTGCCCCACGCTCCATTCTGTCCGCCCGTGCCCCACTCGATTTGCCTGCTCAAAGTGCTGCCGGCGTTGCCTGCTCAACCCGTACCTCAGTGCCTGCGGGGGAGAAGGGAGGAGGTGCAGGAGACGATGGAGCAGCGGGAGGAGGGAGACGCGCCGGCGCCGTGCTCAACCCGTGCCTCAGTGCCTGCGGGGGAGAAGGGAGGAGGGGCAGGGGACGATGGAGCAGCGGGAGGAGGGAGACGCGCCGGCGCCGGGGAGGGGACGGGTCGTCCGCCGAGCGGGTTCGCGAACAATCGCGACCTTCCGGGTTCGTGACTTAATGGGTTGGAGACCCGCGACGAACCCGATCCAACGGTCCATATCGTGTTTCCGCCGGATCCAACAGTTTGCGCGTTAACAGGTGACGTGTCCCTAGCGGGTGCCCGCGGTTTGGTGCAGGATTCGTATTAAGAGATTAACTTTAGCCGCGTATGTTTGCATCCATTAAACATGATATTTGGATTGGAAGCTGGGACACGTGTCTATCAACTGGGCAGTGTCACACCAGGCGCAGGTACGACCCCGTCCCAAAAATATTTTCCCATGTAGTTGAGCCGAGGGTGTTGGATTTCCAGAAATTTATGATAGTTATTTCTGAATTAAATTTATTTTTTGCAGTGAGGCAGCGTGGATGCATGTGCACCAACTATCATATATTAAATCCGTCCCAAATTATAAGACGTCTCGGAACGGAGGGAGGAATAGGTAGCTTCACCCGTGACACTCCTGGTTCACAGCACCTTCGTGCAGCACGGCTCTGTTGCCGTACGTTCATTCATCCTCGTATCCTTGCATGCAACATGCAGGGCTTGGCCTATCTTTCAGCCTAATGTTTTCACGGCACACAGCATAGCCCATCAACATATCGACGGCTCCTGAGTGGTGCTGCACAGGATAGAGGTGGTGTGCATTACGGGCGCATAGAATTTTTTCTCCCCTGGTGTACCTGTTTATAATCTTATTAAGACATCAACATAGTTATGGTACAGTAGTACTAAATCCGTTTCAAATTATAGTTCATTTGACTTTTTTTTACTCCATGTTTGACCACTCGTCTTATTCAAAATTTTGTGCTAAATATCACTTCTTTTTGTTGTGGTTTACTTTATTAACAAAAGTTCTTCAAGAATGACTTAAATTTGACTATGTTTGTATAAATTTTTTGAATAAGACGAGCGGTCAAACTTAAGGTAAAAAATCAAACGAATTATAATCTAGAACGGAGGGAGTACTAGATATGTGTTGGAGTAGTCCCTTTGGAAAACCTCTGCCCTTTTTGTCTATGGGCATAATTTCACAGCGATACATTTGGAAACGGGAGTTACTTTTTATCGTCAAACGAATGAACGATAGTGCCATTTGCCCCAGCCGGCCAGCCGGCAAATTGGCCATACGATCAATCCAACATTGTGCTGCACGCCGCTTGTACGAACCAAACAAAGGGGACGTACGTACAATGCCAAAAGCACGGGTTTAATTAGCAGGGTAGTTAACTCACAGCGACGCTGACAGGCTTTGTAGACATCGTTTTGGAATTAAGAAACGGATTTCATCGATATGTAGCAAAAATTCCTTTTACTGCTGGCTAGCTATATATTTAATCGAGGGATATATACCCATGGCATTGGTGGTTCGTGCAAACTAGAGCCAAATCTCATCAGCTCATTGAGCACTGAACAAGCCAAGTAATTAACCAATGTCGCCGCCGGCGAAGTCGTCGTCCCTGCTGCCTGCTCTGGTAATTCTGGCGGCAATAGCAGCCACGGCCGAGCCCGAATGCCCTACCAAATGCGGCGACGTCGACATCCCCTACCCGTTCGGCATCGGCGGCGTCTGCTCCCACGGGAAGGACTTTGAGATCTCCTGCATCAACAACGGCACCACGGCGGTGCTCCAGTCGGACTTCCATACGATGCAGGTGCTGAGCCTGTCCGTGGAGCCACCGTTGGCCAAGGTGATGCTGCCCGTGGCTTACAAGTGCTACAACCCGGAGAACGGCTACCCCGTCAGAAAGTCTGACGGGCACGTGGACCTGTGGTCACACGGCATCTTCCTCATCTCCGACACCGGAACATGTTCGTGGTGCTCGGGTGCAACACCGGCGCCTTCACCACCATGAACTTCGGCGAGAAGCGCGGCGGCCGCTACAAGCACCAGTACTACGCGGGCTGCTTCACCTACTGCAGCGAGCCCGGGAGCCCCAAGGACGGCAGGTGTGCCAGCGTCGGCTGCTGCCACGTCG